TTTAAAATTACTTAGACAAGTTAGATGTCTTCATGTCACCAGGGCCTGATGAAGTACCACTTAGAATACTCAAGGAGGTGCCTGAGGAGATACGAGTGATTAGTGATTATCTCTTAAAAGTTGTAGAAGATGGGACACTGTGCAGAGTATAGGAAAAGGGCAAATATAGTGTCAGTCTTTAAAGAGGGAAATAAAGACAACATGGAGAATTACAGACCCATCAGATTAACTACCCTGGAAGATAATTGGGCAAATAATTAAGCAGTCACTTTGCAGACCGCTAGAAGATAATAAAATAAGTAATAGCATGGATTTGTCAAAAACAAATCATGTGAAACCAACCTAGTAGCTTTCCTTCAAAGTAACTAGCTTTGTGGATGGGGGGAAAGGAGTAGATGTGATATATCTTAACTTTAGTAAGGCTTTTGATACTGTTTTGCTTGCCCTTCTCATAAACAGATTGGGGAAATATAACCTACACTGAGTTACTATAAAGTGGATGCATAATTTGTTTGAAATCTGTTCCCAGAGAGTTCCTGGTTCACAGTCAAACTGGAAGGGCATTACAAGTGGAGTCCTGCAGGGATAGGTTCTGGATTCTGTTCAATATCTTCTTGGGTGATTTAGATAATGGCATAGAGAGAACACTCTCAAAGTTTGTGGATGATATGAAGCTGGGAAGGGTTCTGAGTGCTTAGGAAAGTAGGATGCGGACAAATTGGAGAAAGCCCAGATAACAGCAACAAAATGATTAAAGGTCTAGAAAACATGACCCATGAGGGAAGATGAAAAACATTGGGGCTGCGTCTAGATTGGCATGATTTTCTGGAAATGCTTTTAATATAAAAGTTTTCCGTTAAAAGCATTTTCGGAACAGAGAGTCTAGATTGGCACAGACGCTTTTCCGCAAAAGCACTTTTTGCGGAAAAGCATCCGTGCCAATCTAGACACGCTTTTCTGCAAAAAAGCCCAGATCGCCATTTTCGCGATCGGGGCTTTTTTGCAGAAAACAAATCTGAGCTGTCTACACTGGCCCTTTTGCGCAAAAGCTTTGCACAAAAGGTACTTTTGCCTGAACGGGAGCAGAATAGTATTTCCGCAAGAAGCACTGATTTCTTACAGTAGGAAGTCAGTGCTTTTGCAGAAATTCAAGCGGCCAGTATAGACAGCTGGCAAGCTTTTTCCAGAAAAGTGGCTGATTTTCTGGAAAAACTGGCCAGTCTAGACACAGCCTGGGTGTGTTCAGTCTGTAGAAGAGAAAACGGAGAGGGGATATAAGTCTTCAAGTCCCTAAAAGGTTGTTAAAGGCTAGAGGTAGATAAATTGTTCTCCTTTACTTCTGAGGATAAAACAAGAAGCAACGGATTTAAATTGCAGCAGGGGAGGGTTAGGTTGGCCATTAGGAAATACTTCAGTATCATGGTGATTAAGCACTGGAATAATTTGCTTAGGGCAGATGTGCAATCTCCATCTTTTGAGGTCTTTAAGAGCAGATTAGACTAACATCTGTCAGGAATGGTCTAGATAAAACTTAGCCCTTTCATGAGTGCAGGGGCCAAGAGTAGATGATCTTGAAGTCCTTTCCAGTCCTACGATTCTGTGATTCTATTTTGTAGTCTTGTTTTGTTAAATGAAATGAGAGCCTGTTCATTGACATTCTCAGGTGGAAGAGATGAAAGCTTATTTCCACTCCAACTCATCTGACGAAGTGGGTTTTACCCACAGAATCTCTTGATATCATATATTCTTGTTAGTCTCTAGGTGCCACAGGACTGCTCATTGTTTCTGAATGTAGTTTTGTAATAGTTTGATTTGCTTTAAAATATATCCTCTGAACAAAACTTCAAATTCACAAATCCCTATGTAAAATTTACTTTTAGAAACAAGTTGCAGGAAAATTAACAATTTGATTTCTTTAAGGACACGGTCTCCTTGAAATCTAGTCTCAACAGTATCAGGTACTATGTCTGCCCTCAAGCCTCCTAGTGGCTGTATAATTACAGCCTGTACTTTTTTAAAAAAAGTACGCTTGCTGTATGAGATGTGTAATTTTAAGTGTTACATGTAACTAGAATAAATGTGCTGTTTTCAGGAATGATTTTTTTTAATGTTGACAGTTCACCAAAAGATCTGAAAAAGCAAAGACAATATATAAATCAAATGTACTGTTAAATAAGACTTAAGTGAGAATGGTGTATATTGCTCATGACCCAGTACAAAGGTTATGAAATCTTTAGAGTTGGTTATATAAAAAACCTGCCATTCTTGTTCACTTCGAGAACTTTCTATTGACTTATCATAGGATTCCTATTTAGTCTTAATGTAAAATAAAGCAGAAATCGTTCACTGGTATATAAAAATTGTTAATGTGACACATATTCTCTTATCTAGTAATTCAGCATCAATAACACTTTAAAATATGTGGAATAGCAACATCTACTGGTAGCTATTGGTAGTTGCATAAAAATTATAGTGTTTGCAGGATAATCGAAAATGACAAAATAGAGAACTGTGGATGATTGTGCCATTGTTTTACAGAATGCTGAGGGTGTCTTAGCTTTCTAATAAATTATTGTCTTCTGTTTTTGATATTGGAAAAGCAAATATTGTGGATCATAATTACAGCACCACCACAAAAACCTAAAACTGGTAAAATCCGTGTGAATTTCCCCACAATGTAAGGGGTTTAATAGCTTCCATTAATTAAGTAGCCTGAGTAGTATAACAATATTAAGGCAAATTAATCCCTTGAAGTAGAGAGATGAAACTCCATTTACTGCAACACCTACTTACAAAAGTATTGTAGATATTGTCACTCTGCGTAGTATTTATACAAAGGAGCCACTTGCAAGGGAGAATGCTGTGAAAGTAAATGTTAGCAATTCAATAGTCATTCACAAATATTTTGCATACGTACTTGTTTGTAATTTTTACATTGGTCACACGCAAATGGCATAGTGAAACAAAATATTAATGTTCCCTTGAGCTGGATGGAGGCAACTATGAATTTACCAAATGGATTTAAAATATCTAACAATAGATAGTGTTTGGCTTTTTTATGAACAAAGTTTCATCCATACACATATTCATGCAGCTCAGATGTCACTGAGTTATGAATTTGGTTTTTGAAGATAACCATGTTGTGTAAGTGAAGGCTAATATTGAGCAGTACTGCTTGTTTTTCAGTTTTTCCCTATTTAACCTTCTTAATTTCAGTCTTTCAGTTCAGTTGTGATTTTTATTTGACATGACTGACAGTGGTGGCATGCAGAGTTGCAGCTTCTTGAAGAGAACTTCAGGGTTATAAAAAAGCCTTAAACTGGATTGAACTCTTATTCCCAGTATGTGACCACAATTTACCAATGGCCAGAGTTTATACGTTCAATATACAGAGATTTGACTGACTATTGTAAATGGCAATTGCATAATACACTCTTAGCATCCACACTGACCTGCACTGTGTGGCCTTTTCTCTCTTTCTCTCATATGCCATGGAACAATTATGTTCAGTAATTGCTTTCATTTGTGGAGGAGGAGGGAGAACAGGTCACTAGTCAGTGCAAAAGAAAAACGTGGATGCTGATGTGTGCACAGACTTGAACAGTAATCCTGCAGTAATGCAACTTTCACATAACATACGGGTTATTGCACAGGGGAAGTCATACAAATTATTTTACTCTGTCCTTTCAATTCTTTAAAGGTTTTAGATTATGCTAAGGTAGTCTCAGTCCTATGTTTCTATTCACAGATATCTTCCATAATTATATACACTCACAGTCATAACTATTGAAGCCAGAGCTTCAGTTGTAATTTGAGGAAAGGCAGCTGCTTTTGCACTTGAGGCAGGCCTATGGGGGAAGATCCAAATTTTTGAATATGTGCCTCCATAGTTTCAGCCTTCCTATTGCTATTTCCTCGCGTTTATTCTGCTTCTTTGCTCATTTGATTTCAGTGACATGGGTTTAATTCCCACAAAGCCTAGATCTGTTCCTCTGCCAACGCATCCTGAGCACAGCTTTCATATGGCATTTTGTTTTTGGAATAGTCCTAGAGAGTCACACTTCATACATCTCAAGAAGTATGAGACTTTGCAAGGAAGGTTTTTACTCCTTTCAAGGCCTAGCCAAGAGACTGAGTCCACAGAAGAGCTGAGTAGGGACAAAATAGTGCGTCACACACCCAACTGATTCTTGTCTTGTTGTGCTGGAGCAGCTGTATGGATTGCTAAGGGGCTGCAGTTCACAGCCAGCATGTAATACTCCATTTTGGGCAGCAATGAAACTAAAGACTAATTTAAGTATATGGTTCCTCACAATAGCACACTCAGTTTAAGGCACTGATCTATGACTGAATCAAATCCAGATAAATCAAAAATGACAGCATAATTTCAACAGACAATGAAAAGGTTATGTAAGTAAAATATATATGACTTGTGCAAGTAATCTGTCCAGCTTCAGTTTTGGTGGTGTTTTCAGAAGTAAATTGTCTGAGCATATGAGTATCCTTGAATTGTTAAAACATGAGATTGCAAAGGGCAGTCCCGAAGACCAGCCAACTTGGGGTGGAAATGGCAGCCTAAAAGAGCCCAGTTTGGATAAATTGGAGCTCATGGATGTAGAGTCCTTCAATTCAGATCATGTGCGCCAGCTGCTTCTTTAAAGTAAATTACAACCGTTTACTTAGTACCATCATCTGTAAGTTCAAAATGTTAAATGCCCCACTTCCTGTAAGAAGTGAAGTGTATTTGAAAAGAGCTTTAAATCACAACTGGCTTTGACTTTAACAAGGGATGGCAGTCTTGCTAAAGTTACGTAATGTTGTGTCACTGGCAGTACGAGAGCCCTGTGTCAGAATATGTCTATTCCCATTCTGCTCTAAAACTATTTCAACAATCCAAAGAAGCTCAAATGTTTATACAAAGCTGATTAAAAAACCCCAGCAAACCAACATTCAGACTCTTCTTTTGTACTTTAAGGAAGTCTTGATAACAATTTATGATGTTTGGAAACATATTTTGTGCAATGATCGTATATTTTAGGTGCTCAAATTTCAGGGGATGGATGCCATATAAATATCCCAAAAGAGATGTAATGAGGTAAATCCTAAAAAGGAACTATTCTGATTTTCAGTTTGGAGCTAAAGTACTAAAAGATGTGGAGAATAGGGATAAGATTAAAGAACTGCTAGTGATTACACAAATTCATTTTTAAAAGATGCTTTTAGAAAGTAATTTGCTTTGTTGCAAAGGGGTTTTAAGTAGAAATTTTCTTCTAAATTTCAGGTATCTTGTATTTTATTGTCCACACGATTTAGTCTACAGATGTTTTTCCTTTCTGCCTCTTCGGCTGATGGCTGCAGGAATGAAAGAAGTGACTAGGACTTGGAAAATAACAGCTGGAATTGCACATGCAAACAGCCACTTCAAAAACGCTTGGTTTGTCATGGTAGCTGTTGGCTGGGCCAGAGGTAATGTGTAAAATCTCTTGTTCTGATGAATTGTGACGTTTAAAGTGGTATTTAAATTGCAAACCATGTGCTCTTAGCAATAACACAGCATGATCTATCTTGTGGGAATGGTAGCCTTACATTCAAACTGTTACCCCTCCAGCAGGGAAAGCCTGTGTGTCCATGTAGTAATTTCTCAGGTCAGATTAGGGATGGCCTGGTTTCGGAGGAAGCTAAGACTAGCCCATAGGATAAAAGCTGTCTGTCCTCATGCAAGGATCTCCATGATTTGTTGGTTGATGGCAAAAGGAATCTGCAAGGCTACCATGTAACTTGCTCATTATAATGATTAACTTTCCAATGGAACTGTTCTCACGGACGCTGCACTTCTATATGACTGAACTGTTGCTTTTCTAATTGTTTAGTACGGCCCTATGCTTTACTCAGATTGAGCATGCTAGAGACATTTTATCCACCCTTATTGAGTTGTCTCCGAAAGTAAATATCACAGACGATATCTAGAAATGTATTGTACACGTCAGAGGTGCAGGGTTTGGTTTACTCTTATACTGTCTATCCCACTGCGGTAGAGACACCACTGGCTCTACTTCGCCTTTCCTTTTTTAGTTCTGTATGGGAGTTTATTTTCACTCCGTTTGGAAGCTCACAGATACATCAACAAAAGTAATGCCAACTTGTGTTGGTGTGTGTTATAAAGTTTTACTGAACAGAGTGCAGCATTCTTATTATGCCTTATATTTCTAGCAGTTTTTTCCCCTATAAGGGAAGTCTTCTAGACTTTATGTTGGAGTGCTTCTCTCTCCTCCACATGTGTATGCATATTAGGGATGGTAGCGCATAGTCATTTCCACGAATAACCAATAAACCTGGTTTTATCAGCTAATCCTAACTACATGCACCTCCTCTTGCTGCCTCTGCATCAGAGGCAGCAGGGGGAGGGAGGGAGCAGGAGTCAGTGC